CGGAGTGTGGAAATTAGGTGTGGAGTTAATAAAACTATTAGTCAGAGGGCTGAAGAGGGTTTGTTGAGGTGGTTTGGTCATTTAGAGAGAATGGATCAAAGTAGAATGACATGGAGAGCGTATAAATCTGTAGGGGAAGGAAGGCGGGGTAGGGGTCGTCCTCGAAAAGGTTGGAGGGAGGGGGGTAAAGGAGGTGTTGTGGGCGAGGGGTTTGGACTTCCAGCAAGCGTGCGTGGGCGTGTTAGATAGGAGTGATTGGAGACAAATGGTATTTGGGACCTGACGATCTGTTGGAGTGTGAGCAGGGTAATATTTAGTGAAGGGATTCAGGGAAACCGGTTATTTTATATAACCGGACTCGAGTCCTGGAAATGGGAAGTACAATGCCTGCATTCTAAAGGAGAGGTTTGGGATATTGGTAGTTTGGAGAGATATATTGTATATTTTTATACGTATATACTTTTAAACTGTTGTATTCTGGGCACCTCTGCAAAATCAGTGCTTATGCGTGAGGTGACAGTGTTGAATGATGATGAAAGTATTTTCTTTTTGGGAATTTTATTTCTTTTTGGGTCACCCTGCCTCTGTGGGAAAAGGCCGACTGGTAAAAAAAAAAAAAAAAAACCATCTTCAATCAAGGCAGTGTGACAACTCCTCCCCCTTTCAAAAAGGAAACTTTCGCAATAATTAATTCAGCTGTTGTCTTGCTGACACCACAATTCAAATTACCCTCTGACTGCAACACCCCCACCCCTCCTTCAGAGTGCAGGACAACTCCAGCTAACCAGCTATTATATTTATTTTTTTTTTTTAATAGAAAAAAATAAGGTATACATTAACACATTTTGTAATTTACTTCCTGTAAGTCCAACCAACTTATGTAATTATTAATGTCAGTCTTGCCCAGAGCATTATGTACAGTAATACAAGCTCCACAACCTCATCTATTTTTTTTTTTCTTAACAAGTGGTCCGTCTCCCACCGAGGCAGGGTGACCTAAAAAGAAAGAAAATCTCCAAAAACAAGATACATTCATCATCATTCAACTCTTTCACCTCACTCACACATAATCACTGTTTTTGCAGAGGTGCTCAGAACACAACAGCTTAGAAGCATGTATGTATAAAGATACACAACATATCCCTCCAAACTGCCAATATCCCGAACCCCTCCTTTAGAGTGCAGGCATTGTACTTCCCATTTCCAGGACTCAAGTCCGGCTATATAAAAATAACTGGTTTCCCTGAATCCCTTCACTAAATATTACCCTGCTCACACTCCAACAGATCATCAGGTCGCAAATACCATTCGTCTCCATTCACTCCTATCGAACACGCTCATGCACGCTTGCTGGAAGTCCAAGCCCCTCGCCCACAAAACCTCCCTTACCCCTTCCTTCCAACCTTTTCGAGGACAACCCCTAACCCACCTTCCTTCCCCAACAGATTTATACGCTCTCCATGTCATTCTACTTTGATCCATTCTCTCTAAATGACCATACAACCTGAACAACCCCTCTTCAGCCCTCTGACTAATACTTTTATTAACTCCACACCTTCTCCTAATTTCCACACTCCGAATTTTCTGCATAATATTTACACCACACATTGCCCTTAGACAGGACATCTCCACCGCCTCCTCGCTGCTGCATTCACAACCCAAGCTTCACACCCATATACGAGTGTTGGTACTACTATACTTTCGTACATTCCCTTCTTTGCCTCCATAGATAATGTTTTTTGTCTCCACATATACCTCAATGCACCACTCACCTTTTTTCCCCTCATCAATTCTATGATTAACCTCATCCTTCATAAATCCATCCGCCGACACGTCAACTCCCAAGTATCTGAAAACACTCACTTCTTCCATACTCCTCCACCCCATTTTGATATCCAGTTTGACTTTATCTAAATCATATGATACCCTCATCACCTTATTCCTTTCTATGTTCACTTTCAACTTTCTACCTTTACACACACTCCCAAACTCGTCCACTAACCCTTGCAATTTTTCTTTAGAATCTCCCATAAGCACAGTATCATCAGCAAAAAGCAACTGTGTCAATTCCCATTTTGTATTTGATTCCCCGTAACTTAATCCCACCCCTCTCCTGAACACCCTAGCATTTACTTCTTTTACAACCCCATCTATAAATATATTAAACAACCATGGTGACATTACACATCCCTGTCTAAGACCTTCTTTTACCGGGAAGTAGTCTCACTCTCTTCTACAGATCCTAACCTGAGCCTCACTATCCTCATAAAAACTCTTTACAGCATTTAGTAACTTACCACCTATTCCATATACTTGCAACATCTGTCACATTGCTCCTCTATCCACTCTATCATATGCCTTTTCTAAATCCATAAATGCAATAAAAACTTCCTTACCTTTATCTAAGTACTGTTCACATACATGTATATGCTTCAATGTAAACACTTGATTTACACATCCACTACCCACTCTAAAACCTCCTTGCTCATCCGCAATCCTACATTCTGTCTTACCTCTAATTCTTTCTATTATAACCCTACCATACACTTTTCCTGGTATACTCAGTAAACTTATTCCTCTATATACTCAGTAAACTTCTTCCTCTATAATTTTTACAATCTTTTTTGTCCCCCTTCCCTTTATATAAAGGGACTATACATGCTCTCTGCCAATCTCTAGGTACCTTTCCCTCTTTCATACATTTATTAAACAAAAATACCAACCACTCCAACACTACATACCCCCCTGCTTTTAACATTTCTGTCATGATCCCATCAGTTCCAGTTGCTTTACCCCTTTTCATTCTATGTAATGCCTCACGCACCTCCCCCACACTCACATCCTGCTGTTCTTCACTTCTAAAAGATGGTATACCTCCCTGGCCAATGCATGAAATTACCACCTCCTTTTCTTCGTTGACATTTAAAAGTTCCTCAAAATATTCTCGCCATCTACCCAAAACCTCCATCTCCCCATCTACTAACTCCCCTACTCTGTTTTTAACTGACAAATCCATTTGTTCCCTAGGCTTTCTTAATTTGTTTAACTTACTCCAAAAATTTTTCTTATTTTCATTAAAATTTCTTGACAGTGCCTCTCTCACTATCATCTGCTCTCCTTTTGCACTCTTCACCTTTCTTTTGCTCTCAATATACTCTACTCTTCTTATAACACTTCATAAGCTAACTTTTTCTCTTTTATCACACCCTTTACTTCATCATTCCACCAATCACTCCTCTTTCCTCCTGCACCCACCCTCCTATAACCACAAACTTCTGCCCCACATTCTAATACTGCATTTTTAAAACTATTCCAACCCTCTTCAACCCCCCTACTGCTCATACTTGCACCAGTCCACCTTTCTACCAATAGTTGCTTATATCTCACCTGAACTATCTCCTCCCTTAGTTTATACACTCTCACCTCCCTCTTACTTGTTGTTGCCATTTTCTTCTTTTCCCATCTACCTCTTACTCTAACTGTAGCTACAACTAAATAATGATCCGATATGTCAGTCGCCCCTCTATAAACATGTACATCCTGGAGCCTACCCATCAACCTTTTATCCACCAATACATAATCTAACAAACTACTTTCATTACGTGCTATATCATACCTTGTATATTTATTTATCCTCTTCTTCATAAAATATGTATTACTTTTTACCAAACCTCTTTCTACACATAGCTCAATTGAAGACTCCCCATTTTCATTTACTCCTAGCACCCCAAATTTACCTACTACTCCCTCCACAACATTTTTGCCCACTTTAGCATTGAAATCCCCAACCACCCTTACTCTCACACTTGGTTCACAACTCACCACGCATTCACTCAACATTTCCCAAAATCTCTCTCTCCTCTACACATAATCCTTAATACATTTATAGTCCCTCTTTTCCTGCCATAACTTATCCTTCAACATTATTGCTACTCCTTTACCTCTAACTCTATTTGAAACCCCTGACCTAATCCCATTTATTCCTCTCCACTGAAACTCTCCTACCCCCTTCAGCTTTGTTTCACTTAAAGCCAGGACATCCAGCTTCTTCTCATTCATAACTTCCACAATCATCTCTTTCTGATCATTTGCACAACCCACACACATTCAGACTTCCCACTTTGACAATTTTCTTCTTATTCTTTTTAGTAATTATTACAGGAAAAGGGGTTACTAGCCTATTGTTCCCGGCATTTTAGTTGACTTTTACAACACGCATGGCTTACTCAGGAAAGATTCTTATTCCACTTCCCCATGGATATAAAAGGAAATGTAATAAGACAAAGAACTATTAAGATAAAATCAAAGAAAACTCAGGTGAGTGTGTATAAATAAACATGTACATGTATGTGTAGTGTGACATGGTATGTGTAGTGTGACATGGGGTATAAATATATGTGTTGAATAAAAATTACAAGTTTAGTTAGTCAGTCTAATGTACTGAACTATTTTTCCAAAACAAGTCATGGTGTTGAGATTTACAGTGCCAATTCTGAAAGATGACTGGGGATACTGGAATTCAGAGGGTCATTTAAACGGTGATATGAGCATGTTTGTGGAGACAGCTACTGAATACAGTGGACCCCCGGTTAACGATATTTTTTCACTCCAGAAGTATGTTCAGGTGCCAGTACTGACCGAATTTGTTCCCATAAGAAATATTGTGAAGTAGATTAGTCCATTTCAGACCCCCAAACATACACGTACAAACACACTTACATAATTGGTCACATTCAGAGGTAATCGTTATGCGGGGGTCCAGTGTATATGGTACTGTGAATGATGGTGAAAATGTTTCTTTTCCAGGTCACCCTGTCTCGGTGGCAGACGGCCAGTGAGTTGAAAAATAAATGGGTTTCCTTTTAAGAGTCGCCTTACCTTGTATGGAAATGGACAATGTGATACAAAAAGTGTTAATAAGTTTTATTCACTGATGGTTAGAGTATGCCCAGTTATCTATTAAAATTCTTAACTTCACTTACTAAAATAATTTGACTAACCTCAGCCACTTCATTATTTTCAGAACAATTCTGTTGGTGTCCCATCATTGTTATTATTTCACGGTAATTATCAAAGTCCTTCTGCACCATCTCACCTTTCTTGCGCTCTTCTTCAAACTTACTTGTTATCTGAAAATTGCTTTATTAGTCAAAGAAAATAGATGAATATTCTGAGCAAAATGTAAGTATAGAATGAAAACTCGTAGCAACCTGTCTCCTCAATTTAAAAAAAGTACTACATGTATACTAATGCTGCTGTAAATTAATATTCTAATGGCATTTCAAAAATACAAATTTTACTTCATCAAAATCAATTCATATGGTTTCTAAATATTTTCTGGAACTATTCATTTGTTTTTCTATAAATTATTACTACACAATAATAAGTACATCACTACATAAGGAATACATAGAGCAAGACTAGGGCTGTAAAAAATAAAGACATGAGAGTTTTGGCTTCTGTCACTGAAAGAATAAAGATGATTAAATATGATCAAGACACAATATTAACCCGTAAACGGTCCAAACGTATATATACGTTTTTTCAACATTTGAAAGTATGTAAAAAAAAGTAGATCATCTTTTTGTTTTTCTACATTTGAAAATGTGTAAAAAAACTTTGATCTACTTTTTTTTTTGTTATATTTGAAAATATGTAAAAAAACTTAGATCTACTTTTGTAGCACTACACATGTGAACGTAGATCTGCTTGGACCGTTTACGGGTTAATCTGGGAAGACATGGAAAGTTGAGACATGGCTAAAAATTACTTACCAAATTGAGCGGAAGAATTTTTTTTTTTTTTTTTTTTAGACATCAGAAGTCTCCCACAGAGGCTGGATAACCCAAAAATAAAAAAAAAAAACTTTCATCATCATTCACACAAAATCACTGTCTTTGCAGACGCTCAGAAATGACAGTCCAGACATCACTTCAAATAGCCAATATCCCAAATTCCTCCTTTAAAATGCAGGCATTGTACTTCCCACTTCCAGGACTCAAGTCCAGCTAATCGGTTTCCCTGAATCCCCTCACAAAATATTACCCAGCTCACACTCCAACAGCTCGTCAGGTCCCCAAAACCATTCATCTCCAGTCACTCCTAACATACTCATGCACGCTTGCCAGAGAAATATTATACAGTAATACAGTAGGCCCTCAGTAAACGCCTGCATCGGACAGCGCCAAAATCAGATAACGCCTCGCTCTGGCCTAAAAAAAATTGGCTCGGATAACACCTAAAAACTTGGTTAGGAGCTTTCGTCCCAAACTTGTCCGCTCGGCCCCCTGAGTGGGCCCAGCCAGTCACCCCATCTGCCAGCCAGTGTGCCATTGTTTACAAGCCACTGAGGACGTTTCCATGCGTACATGCAATATATTTTGTATTATTCCATTGTTTTTAGTGCTTGCAACTGCTAAGTAAGCCACCATGGGCCCAAAGAAAGCTTCTAGTGCCAACCCTGTGGTAAAAAGGGTGAGGTGTACTATCAAACTGAAAAAGAAGATAATAGAAAAGTACAAGAGTGGAGTGCGTACCTCAGAGTTGGAAAAGTTATACAACGAACCCCATTCAACCATCACTACTATCTTGCGCAACAAAAAGGTAATCAAGGAAGCTGTTGTTGCAAAAGGTGCAAGTGTGATTGCAAAACAGATATTGCAAATACTCAAAGATGTAGAGAGACTGTCGTTGGTGTGGACAAACGAGAAATAATTGTCAGGAGATAGTGTTTCACAGTCAATCATATGTGAAAAGGCAAGGCAGTTGCATGAGGATCTCATTAAGAAAATGCCTCCAAATAGTGCTGCTGCTGATGAATTTAAGGCCCGCAAAGGCTGGTTTGAGAGATTTAAGAATCATAGTGGCATACACAGTGTGATAAGGCATGGTGAGGCTGCCAGTTCTGACAAAAAAGAGGCTGAAAAATATGTGCAGGACTTTAAGGAGTACATAGACACTGAAAAATTAAAACCCCAATAAGTGTTTAATTGTGACGAAACAGGCCTGTTTTGGAAGTAAATGCCAAACAGGACCTACATTACTCAGGAGAAAAAGGCACTCCCAGGACACAAGCCTATGAAAGACAGGCTAACTCTAATGTTGTGTAGTAATGCTAGTGGGAATTGCAAAGTGAAGCCTTTACTCGTGTATCACTCTGAAACTCCTAGAGTGTTCAAGAAAAACAATATTGTCAAGACTAAACTGTGTGTGATGTGGAGAGCAAACAGTAAAGCATGGGTCACTAGAGACATGTTTACTGACTGGTTCTATGATGTGTTTGGCTCCACTGTGAAACAGTACCTCCTGGAAAATAAATTGGACCTCAAGTGCCTCCTGGTAATGGACAACGCTCCTGCTCATCCTCATGACTTGCAAGAGCAAATTGCATGGTAGTTGAGCTTCATCAAAGTGAAGTTCTTGCGTCCTAATACCACTCCTCTCCTCCAGCCCATGGACCAGCAGGTCATTTCAAATTTCAAAAAACTGTACACCAGAGCAGGGTTTCAAAAGTGCTTTGAAGTGACCTCAGACACTGAATTGATCCTAAGAGAGTTCTGGAAAGATCACTTCAGTATCCTCAGTTGCATAAACTTAATAGGTAAGGCTTGGGAGGGAGTGACCTTCAGGACTTTGGACTCTGCTTGGAGAAAATTGTGGCCACAATGTGTACAAGAGAGGGATTTTGAAGGGTTTGGGGCTAACACTAAGGAGCCTATGCCAGTTATGGAATCTATTGTGGCATTGGGGAAGTCCATGGGGTTGGAGGTTTGTGGCGAGGATGTGGAAGAGTTGGTGGAGGACGACGATGAAGAGCTAACAACTACAGAGCTGCAAGAGCTTCAGGTGCAACAGTAACAGACCAAAGCTCAGGGATTTCCTTCAGAGATGGAGCAAGAGAGATGGAGGAAGTTGCCTTTGTCAAAGATTATGGAAATGTGTATAATGTTTACAGAGGTGCAAGCATTTATGGATGAATATTATCCTGACACAGCTGTTGTAAGCCTTATTGGCAACTTGTACAATGACACTTGTGGCCCATTTTAGGGAAATCTTAAAGGGATGCGAAAAACAGAGGTCTCTGGACACACATTTTGCATGACAGGGGTTCAGTGACTCTGAAGCTGGTCCTAGTGGCATTAAAAAACAAAGAAGGGAGGTAACCCCAGAAAAGGACTTATTACCTGAAGTCTTTATGGAAGGGGATTCCCCTTCCAAACAATAGAACACCTGCATCACCTGCCCTCCTACCGTCTCATCACTCATCAACAATTCCACAATAAAGGCAAGTGTCATTTCAGTAATGTTCGTTGTGCATGTAACATTGTGTTCTGTGTAGGAAAACATATATTTCATACAAATTTTTTTTTTTCATACTTTTGGGTGTCTGGAACGGATTAATTGGATTTCCATTATTTCTTATGGGGAAAATTAATTCGGCTAAAAGCTAAATCGATTAAAGCCTAGCTCTCTGGAATGGATTAAAGGCGTTAACTGAGGGTCCACTGTACATTTCTTTAACATCAGTTATAAAAGTGAAATTAACAGAAGAATGACAGTAGATGCAAAACCACAGAGCACTCTGCCATGGGGAAAGGAAGGGAAAGCTTTCCCGTAGTGGTAGGTTGATCAGAAATTCTCAATCATTCTCTATTGCTGCTAGTTTGGATTAGGCCTTAGTCTTTAGCAAAGGAGTTATGCAAACACTATACAATGGCTCAAATATAGATATGAAGGGTTCAGCATTTCATATTACTCAGTTTAAATCAAAGAGGCGACATTAAATCATTTCAGAAAATAAGCTAATAAATTCATTTTCACTGCCATACTGTGTATCCAGGTGTCAGTAACATCAGCAATGACCAAATTTGGTCTAATTTAAAGCTATAATACACAACATCCACATTCAAATTAACACAATAATTTGCCTGAATGTAGTCAGTGCTCTCCTCATTCATCAAAAAATTTCTAATAAATATTCACCTTAAAGTACCAACTTAATTTTGTCACAAGAGAATCTACAGTACTTCATGTTTAACCCTTTCAGTGTCATGACCCCCACTCACAAACTTGCTCCCAGAGTCAAAGAATTTAAAAAAAAAAAAAATTATGAAATGATAAAGAATTTTTTTTCTGAAGGTAAAGAAACCAAAAATATGAAATTTGATGGAAAACTTATGGAATTAATAGTCTCTAGAGGTCTCGGCAATATTTAAGCATCAGTAATTTCACCTACCTTACACTCTATTTTTGGTTACTTCCATTGCTCCAGTCAACCAAACTCGTAGCTATTGCACTAGCACTCCTATCGAATGAGTACAAGAAACCTCCCATTTACCTATTTCAACTACCCAATAAAGTTATCAGAAATCGGTAATCTGGCCAATTTCACACAAAATTCAACAATTGCCAATTTAACCTTTTGAGGGTCGACAGGCCCTCTCCGAAACTCGTTCTCAGGGTCGGCCAAATTTAAAAAAAAAAAAATTATTTTCTCTTATGAAAAGATAGAGAATCTTTTCCCGATCATAACGACACCAAAAGTTTGAAATTTGATAGAAAACTTACGGAATTATGCTCTCGCAAAGTTAGCGGTCTCGGCGATGTTTACGCATCGGCGATTTTGCCCACTTTGAGCCCCATTTTCGGCCAATTTCACTGTACTAGTCGACAAAAAACATGAATATTTCGCTAGAACTCCATTTTTTCTATCAAATGGGTGCAAGAAACCACCCATTTATAAATTCAACTATCCAGTACAGTGGTCAGAATTTTTAGAAATTTTTGCCAATTTCACACAAATTTCAAAAGATGCCAATTTCCGAATAGGGTCCAGAATAAACAAGAAAGACATTCCTGGCACTAAAATGACATTTCCTCTAGTCATTATCACGTCTCAAGGCCCTCTTATATTCTTTTGCTTTCCAGTTTGAATTTTTATTTTCACAAAAAAATATAAGATTTACTCTTATGCAGACTACTGCATTAGTGTAAAAAATGGTATAAATATTATTGGTGCACTTGTGAAAGAATATAGACTCACCAGTTGACGTGTATTGCACGCTTGGCACGATTTTTTTTACTTTTGAAGTTTGGTAAAATCGAACATTTCTGCTACTTTGAGCTCAAT